TCACTTCTCATATTGGCGACTTGTATCTACTCTTTTTCTTAGTTAACCTACCTGAAGGTTTATCAGTTTTACTGACCTTTTCAAATAACTACCTTTTGGTTTATTGGTTCTCTTTTCAAACATCTCACTGATTTCTGCTCTAATTCTTAGTATTTGTTTTGCTCATTTTGGATTTAGTTAACTCTTCTTTTTCTAGTTTCCGAAGATGAAAGCTTAGACTACCTGTGCAATTTAAGATAATTAGTGTGTGTAACCTGATTTTTAAATCGGAGCTTGAAATGTATTATATCATCTTTACCCTCTGTCGGTCCATAAAAGCCTCACTCTGAGCTTCCTCTGGCTTTGCTCCAGTCTCAACCTACCCTCTCATAAAATCAAAAATCTCCAAGGGCCCAGATCTGTTTCTGGACACACTGGACCCCTGAATTTACAGCCTAGTTTACGACCCTAAGTGTCATATAGTCTGTCTGTGGCTTCTATTTTGAACTTTGCCTTGGAGGGCAGTTACTTCCAGGGGTTTTTACAACTGAGGCTGAGGGCTGGAGGATTCACATATGTATACTCAGGAACCCCATGGCTTGAAAGGGGAAAATGAGATTACAGACTAGATATCCCTCTGCACAGAACACACTTACCATTTTGTTATTTCGATTTATATATTTTAAATGGTTACCTATTAGCTTTCTGGGCTTCCTTTCAAGACATTCCTCCAGGTTGCTACATACATGGGAGTGTGCCTGATATTGAAACAACTGCTGAACTAGAAGTGTCTATATTCAATTCCCAATTATATCAACTTCCACTAGGAATATGAAACACACAGGTTACAGAAGGTAGCATTTGAAGATACAGGAGTCCTGTAAACTTAAGGGATACTTCACAGAATCATTTAACAGGGTTGCCGTAATTATTAAATTTATCTCTCCTTTTTATAAGCTTCATATTCACATGAACTGCCAAGATTAAGGTCGCCGAAATGATACGGTTATTAACACATCAGAACTTGTGGTGAAATGCTGATTGCTTTGTAATCCCAATACAATTAGGACAGATTACAGATTCCCTTTTGATTTTGTAACCGGTGTTAACCGATACTTAAACTATAAGCAAGAACATTTCATAAAACTTCACATACACACAGTGCATATAAAAACTACTGACATGTGAATGTAAGTGAGTATTATGGTATCATCCATATTTCTGCTCTAGAATATACCACAGTCATGTAAGATATCTTTAGCTAAACCTCAGGGAAGGGCACGTGAGCATGTTACGTATTACTACTAATACATACTACTAATTACTTGTTTTCAGTTTATTGTTTCATTTTACATTTTTTTGTTGTACACTGCACAATATTCCTCTAAAAATTACAACTTCTTATGTTGCCTAAAGTAATAAGGCATCAAAACCAAAACACAACTTCTAATATTATATTACCTCTAAAGACAATCTTCAAGCTCTTTGTCTCAAATTGAAAGATTTCTCCTTAATAGAAATTAACATAACCTACTTTGTATTTTAGCTAAAAACATATCTTATAAAATCAAAACATCTTCAAGGTTCTATACCCGCATTTGCTAGGGACATTCAAAGGAATGTTCCTTAACAAGACTGTCCTTTATGTGTTGCAGTCTACTTCGGGGTAAAATAAGGCCAGTTTGTGGACGAAAGTTATTCAACATTCAGAACATCAACATTGCTTCCTCTACAACGTGAGTTCTCTGAAGCGGAGCGACTGCTGAACCACACCTCAACATTCCTAAGACCCACTGCAATCCTAAGGTTTTTCTTGCGTGTGTGTTCTCTGATGTACAATGAGGTTTGACTTCTGAGAGAAGGGTTTTCCACATGTGTTACATTCATAGGGCTTCTCACCTGTGTGTGACCTCTGATGGTTAACAAGGTTTGATTTACGGTAAAAAATTTTCCCACATTCATTACACTGACAAGATTTCTCCCCTGTGTGAACCCTATAATGCACTGTGAGAGAAGATCTATGAATGAAGGATTTCCCACATTGGTTACATTTGTAGGGTTTTTCCCCTGTGTGTTTTCTCTGATGTATAAGAAGTCCTGACTTCAAATAGAAAGATTTCCCACATTCATTACATTTATAGGGTTTTTCTTCTGTATGAGTTCTCTGGTGCACACTTAGAGCTGATTTATCACAGAAAGCCCTTCGACATTCATTACATTCATAGGGTTGCTCTCCTATGTGCATTCTCTCATGCTGAGTGAGCCTAGACTTCTGGACAAAAGATTTTCCACATTCATTACATTCGTAGGGTTTCTCCCCTGTGTGTTTTCTCTGATGTAAAGTAAGTCCTGACTTGACACAGAAAGACTTCCCACATTCATTACATTTATAGGGCTTTTCTTTTGTATGAGTTCTCTGGTGCACAATTAGAGCTGACTTATAACAGAAAGCCTTTCCACATTGGTTACACTCATAAGGTTTGTCACCTATGTGGATTCTCTGGTGATAAGTGAGCTGAGACTTCTGGCAGAAAGTTTTCCCACATTCATTACATCCGTAGGGTTTCTCCCCTGTGTGTATCCTAGTATGTTTATGTAGGGACGATTTATTATAGAAGATTTTTCCACATTCATGACACTCGAACGGTTTCTCCCCAGTATGTGTCCTGTGATGTTGAGAGAGGGTAGATTTACGGCTGAAGGATTTCCCACATTCAGGACACACAAAGGGTTTCTCCCCTGTGTTTCTCTGATGCACCGTGTGGTCAGACTTCAAACACGTTTTCCCACATTCGCAACATTCATAAGGTTTTAACTCTGTATGAATTTTCTGATGCCTGGTAAGTACTGACTTGTGGTAGAAACTTTTCCCGCATGCATTACATTTGTAGGGCTTATCCTTTACGTGGGTTTTCTGATGTTGTGTAAGATATGCCTTCCGACAGAAAGATTTCCCACAGTCAGGACATTCAAATGGTTTCT